ATTTTATTGGGGAACTGTGTGTTTTTCCAGGACCCATCAGCTCCAAGTCAAGTCGTTGTCTTCAATCTAGTTGTGGAGGGCACAACTCAGTGGCCCATGTGGGGATCAAACCGGCAACCTCGGTGTTATGAGCCTGCGCTCTAACCAACTGAGCTAACCGGCTGCCCCTCAACCTGTTTCAACACAGTTAATAAGGATACAGGGAGAAGGGGACCTGGAAAGGGAGTCAGAAAACCTTAGTTCCAGCTTCTACTTAAGAAGATCCAAACTTGGGCAAATCACTTAGCTTCTCTGGGCCTCAGTTTCAAAATCTGTAAAATGGAACTAGTAATATTTATCTTGCCTCCATCGAAAGATTGTTGTGAGGATTAAATGAACTTATTATACCCCAGTGTCAGCCATTGTTATTGATGTGGGCAGATTCTTCAATAACCAAGGCCCTGAAAATCAGAGAAGAGCCGCTCTTAATTCTCATTCCCACTCTCAGACCACACGCTCTCTCCTTTGGGCATCCGCCAAGCAGAGGTGGGAACCAGGTGAAGTTGAGCCAAGCTCTAGGGAGGCCCAGCGAGGTTGATTCAAATCCTGAGCTCCTCTGTTATGGGAATTTCCTAATTGTGTCCAGGATTCTCCCCCTGAAGTATGTGGAGCTAAAAATCTGTGACCAGCTCCAACGCATCCTGAGAGTTAGAACAGTGACTGAAAAGATCTACTACCTGAAGCTCCACGAAAAACACCCAGAGGCCGTGTTTCAATTCTGGGTCCGCTTGGTGAAAATTCTGCAGAAGGGTCTGTCCATCACCACCAAAGACCCAAGAATCCAGTTCAGTCACTGCCTGGTGCCCAAGATGTCCAGCAACTCCACTGAAACAACAGTAAGTGGGGCCCTCCCACCAAGATCTGTGGCGAGCCGGGGGTTGGGTTGGGGTTGGGGGTACCAGAGGCATAGCCTCTCCTTAGGCTTGATGGCTATTATAATGTCATGGGGGGGCCAAGCAGACTGTATTTTCAAAGGTCAGGGAGCCATATACCAAATCGAGATCTACAAACATAAAACACAAATTAGTTTAGCTTTCCTAAAAAAGAGCTATAAATGACTTAACTCACTTAAAAATTGCTTTGTGGTTTTTTTTTTCGTTTTATAAAGGGATAATGCTCACTGAAAAAAATCAGAAAAATTACAGAAAAATCACTCCCATTTCTCTTCAGCCCCAAGCGATCACTTTGGCCTCTCCTACCCTAGGATGGAGGCATACAATTTCAGCGCTACTCAGCTTTCTCTTACTAGTGCGTCCTTTTAAAGCTAGATAATGCAGAGGACACGAAGAAGGGCAACACAGCGTTCCTACTGTCAGTGAGCTTGTCTATTTGGGGGGACCCACAAAAAGGATGGACGCAGGTCCTGGTCAGCCCAGTGTCCCACACACGTGTCAGAAGCACAGGTGCTCCAAGCTTCTCTTTCATTTTAAATTAATTTTGAAATTAAAATTTTTTCTTCTACTCTTTTAATTTTTAATTTATATATTTGAGGACATTATATATATATATATATACTACACACTCACACATACATACCCCAGGAATGCCAAAAAAATGTATACAAGTGGACACTTTGGTCAACGTTGCTCAAGCAGTAGTTCGCCATAATCAGAGGTGCCTGGACGCTGATGGTAACCACTTTGAGCACCTCTTGTAATTGCAGAAGTCAAATGTGACTTGTTATCTTTTGTTATCGCTATATATTATTATAATTTTAATAGGTTTTTTCCTTTCTTAAAATGTGTATACATATTTTTGGCACTATATATAATATGTATAATATATATTATATGTATAATATATTAACGTATAATATATATTATATATAATGTATATTATATGTATTATATTATATATATTATATGTTATATATATACATTTCTGAATGTTGCTTTCTTTTCATTTAGATTATATCATAAGCATTTTTCCATTTCTTTTAAAAGAACTTATTTTTGTACACATCATTTTGATAATTTTATGCCATTCAGTTGCATAAATGAATTAAAATTTACTTCACCATTCATCGAATATCAGACATTTAGAGTTGTTTCTAAATTTTCATTATTGTAAATGATGCTAAAACCAGCATTTATGTGTATCACCTACAGTTTTGATTGTTTTCTCAGAATAGATCTTTAGAAGTGGAATTCAAAGGGTATGAACATTTTTAAGGCCCTTGATACATCTTGCAAGATTATTTCCAGAAAGTCCATACCAAATTATACTCTCTCCAATAATATTAAGCATGCTGTGTCACTGTATCCTTATCACGACTGAAAAATATGAATTTTAATACATTTTCTAATAATGATAGATTAAAAAGTAGCATCTCTGATTTTCAATGAGTTTGAACATTGTTACATTTTTTTTTCTTTTTGCACTGTCTGTTATGTTCTTTGCCCATTTTTCTGTTGGCAGCCTTGTGGTTTTCTAAATTGATTTCTAAAATAAAGCTTTTTATACATCAAGAATTTTAACCCTGTAATCACAAGTGTTTGCAAGTATTTCCCCCAAGGATTTGCTTTTCCCTTTCAGTTTATTTAAGGCTTTTTTTTTTTTCTGACAAACAGAAGGCTTCTCCCAGGACCTGCTTAGGGCAGAAGCACAGGAAGGAAAAGCTTGATAAATTGGATTGCCGAAAACCTTCAGATTTCAGACTGTAAACACTTTCCTCCACTCATTTAAGCTTTGTGCTTTAGGTATGCCATCACTGACTTCAAAAGTCAGTTTTTATAATCCCACTGCTCTGGTTCGTGAAGTTCAGATGCGGAGCTCTGGATAGAGTAGCCCCAGCAGCCCATCAGAGAAAGGAAGTGATCCTGCTGGGAGCCCCAATTTTGGTCTGATGGTTCTGGGGCTTCATGTTTAAGGAAAAACTCACGTGACTTCCTTCAAGTACTGGCCTGAAGAGGCCAAGAACTATCAGGGAGCAGACCTGGTCCTCTGACTGTAAATTTCTCCATCCAGCCTGGAAGCAGCCTCCCGTCATCCTCCCAGCCCAGCGAAAACTGCATGCTGTTAGCTGCTGAGCAGACCAGTGGCAGTCTCTTCAATTTCTCAGGAAAGTCCCAGCTCACAGCAGACAGGTGGGTCCTCCGTGCAGTGCAGGCAGCTCCGGTGCCCCTTCCTGCAGCACAGAGCCGTGGGTGGGGTCAGTGTGTTCTAGACATTAAGTGATTGTGATTTTTAAGAAGTTGTTACTGTTTTGGAGAACTGTCTTGAGGTTTTCTTTGCACTGATGCTGACGCCGGGCAGGTTACGGTGGGCATCAGTCAGATCTCGGTGGGTTCAGATTTTGCCTTTGAGTCATAACACTTTAGGTTTTCAATGCATGAAAAGCAGTTTGGAAGGGTTTGTGTTCCACTTCAGTTGAGCAGGGCTTAGCTCCAGCTCCCCTCCTGCCTGTCTTTCTCCACTCCAGTCATTCTTAGGTACTTCATACCGTATGTATGTATCGCCACTGCCAGTCAATTCCACAATCACATCTTTGTTCAAGGTACTCATGCTGGAAAAGACATAATTAAAAAACAGTTTTTAAGTTTGATTTTTAACAGTGCTTTCTTTTTCTTTTATTGCTTTCAATGATCCTGAAATTCCTGGGTTCCAACAGAAACACCGACATTGCCATTGCAATCAACGATTCCAGCAGCTACAACAGGACACCCTCCCCAGTGGCATCTCCAATCAGTTTGAGTATACCCATGAGAGCCACCTTGAGCCACAGCCTCTGGGAACAAGAGAATCCAGAGGAGGGCTGCCTGCAGGCTCCTGCAGCCAGTTCCCTAGGAGAGAACTTGTTGGGACCCTGACACCTAGCCAAACGGGATGATCTTCAGTCAGTGCATGGGCTATATAATCTCCTATAATGCTGTTTTCCCACTGTGGGCCAAATGACCGTGGGAGAGGTAAGATGGTGTTTGTAACAAGGTGCTGCTGTACTTCCACGGATAAACCTCCAAGTGAGTTCCTAATTGTTGTATATTGTGTTATGGGGGGCTCCACACTGGGGAAGGGCTGATTAAGAGCAGGAGCTCACACCTTGGGAAAAATCAGTGGGAAAAACATTCCGTCCGCTCAGTTAAAATCCCAAAGCAGCCAAGCAAAGCTAAGAAAGCCAGTCCAGAGGAAAGGGCCTGGGGAGAAATCCAACTTCCCCTGTCAAAGGGAGAGGGAAAAACAGAAGCAGGGCTGCTCTAAACCCAAATGAAAAAATTCCTGAGGGGTAGCCAGTTAGCTCAGGTGGTTAGAGCACAGTGCTCATAACACCAAGGTTGCCGGTTCGATCCTTGCATGGGCCATGGGGCTGTGACCCTCCCCCCCCCACAACTAGATTGAAGACAACTACTTGTCTTGGAGCTGATGGGTCCTAGAAAAACACACTGTTCCCCATAAAATCCTTAAAAAAAATCATGAGAATGATGGTGACCAACCAGGAGATACCTTTGTGTTGCCCCACTTACCTCAAGTGAGAAATTGAGTGTTTACCGCCCCACTCCCTGTGCTAGAGTAAAGCTTTGGCTGTTAGTGAAGATATGGCTTCTGGTAAGGAAGATGGTGACCACCCATCACTGGAAGTCCTGATTGATTTGATTCTTCTTACCCAGGACCTAATGAAAGCAAACTGGAAGACGCAATGTCTGTGATTATCAGGGACAGGGCAGGGACTTTGGCCAACCTCTGTATAAGTGGGGAATATTTACCTGGAAAATACTACCACAAAATTTAGTGAGCATTTATCAAGCTCCTGCTACGTGCCAGACCCTGAGCTCGATGATGGGTATGTTAGAGAGAACATGACAGGTGGTAAGTTGCCTGCCTTTAGGGAGGGGATGGGAGAGATATCAAGCCCTATTTTGGAAACACAGAATGGCCATTAATGATGTTGGAGCTGCCCAGTCCACAAATCAAGGCTGGTGGACCTGCTTTCCTGTGGTTCACACTATAGGAAATACAATGAGGGAGCGAAAAGGAATATGGCTGCCCTCCCGTGCGCCTGGCTAGATTGGGTCAGAAAAAAACATCTGAGCTGAGAGGATGACCAGTGTTTGTGGGTTTCTTCCTGCCTCTAATAAAAATAAAGCAAAGTTCCTTTTGTCATGTTAGAATCAATTGTTGGTGCTGGTGAGAGACATCTAGAAGCTGAACTTAGAAGAGATGAATGGTTTCCGGGTGGCTTTGGCCAGTGGGATGTCCAGACAGGAGATCGGAGGGTGAGAGGAAAATGGGGTCAAGATAATTATTCTCTCCCTTGTAATCGCATAAGGCTGGCTGCGGTGTGTCCCTTTAACTGTTCCTCTCATGGTGGCCTGTTCTAGTGAACCCGCTCTTTCCTCGTTCCAGTAACCATCCCCTCCCCTTCCCCTCAGGTCCATTGTAAGGAGCTAATTGGATGCTCCTTCCTGAATTTTAGATCTTGAGCGGGGAGGTCACTCGTCCCCATGAGAGTGTGGCACTGGGGCTAGCATTCTGACCACGCAGCTCCGGCTGTGTGACAGTTGCTGGGCTTCCATCCAGCTTATCGCTTCTGTTTTGGTGCCTGCCTATCCCCCAAGCCTAGTCCCCTTAACTTTCAGTTGCTGTCAAGACCCCCTTCCCCCCCCCTGCCCCCGCCCCTGCCAAATAGTCTTCCAATAAATTCCTTTTGGCTTAGGTTGGCCTGTCACTCACTTCCTGTGTTTACAACCATGAAGTATAATTGACGTGGTGCTGTTTCCAGGAAAGTGGAGGCTGTGTAAGCAACCATAGCAACCATAGGTGTCTTAATTTGTGTGTGTATCCTCCAGTACCTGGGTCCTACTAGACACCTGTTTCTGCCATAGCCAGCTCTGGTTATCCCACGTTGTTCCTCCCCACCAAACAAAGGAAGAAACTACAACCTTTGCTGAATGGACTTATCACTGAAATTGATTTCCCAGAGACTATTCCTTAGATGAAAATAACACCACATAAGGGGTTGGTAAACCTTTTAATGTACAATAAAAACACCATTTAAAAGAGAAAAAGAAACAAAACATAGCCCACCAGGAAATGACATTTGCAAGAACAATCCCCCAAACAACATAGGAATGCAGCTTAAAGTTTCTGAAAAGGAGTTCAGAGAAAATGTCCTCAAGGAATAACACCAAAACAAGGACCCACTTAAAATGTGTGATGGGGGTGAGATTAAAGCTTCACGAATATCCTTGTAAGTCTAAAGAAAACTAATAAACAGCTAGTCAATTAAGACTCTCCTTGTGTTGATGAGACAGCCGGTAGAGGAAGCAGAGAACCTGGAGACACTGAGTATGCAGAAATGAGAGTCCTGACCCGGATCCTGGAGATAATGACCTCTCAGAATGACAGGCTGTTGATTTAGAAAACAAAACAATACATAAGGGGTCTCATCTTCAGCAAGAATCCTATTAGGTTGGGTTAGCCAGAATTCCCCCTTACCCCTAATGTTTCCTCTTAGTAATTTTGCATCCACTGGCCCCACCCTGCTCCTTGGCTATAAATTCCCACTTGCCCATGCTGCATTCAGAGTTGAGCCCAATCTCTCTTCCCCCACTGCAGAATTCCATCTCAGTGGTC